CCACGCCGGAGGTTGTCCTGAGCCATCGGCTCACCCCTAATTCCCAAACGATGCCAAAAACACCCGGTCCCCTCCAAGGGAAAGATGCCGGCAGGGAAGAAGGCAGAGAGAAGGGGGCTCACGACGTGTTTTGCCTGCAGGTCCCAAAATGGTGCAACTCCCTTCCCTTCCTCACCCCAAGCAGCCCCTCCGGCCCCTTCCCACCCAAGGGGGGGGGCACGGAGGGGCGCTCGTGCCAGGGAGGTCGGGCCGCCAGCAGCAACGCAGGCTTGTCCCCGGATAGCTGCTGGCGTTCCTGAAAGCATAACCGGTAACTGCCGGCAAGGCAGAGGGAGCACGTTAACCCTAACCAGTGAGTTTCGCAGCAAAACAGGGCAGGTCAGGGAGCCAGGGATTTCTGGCAGCTCAGCTGCAATGCACTGTGCATCTCTCCTCCTGACCTGGATGCTCAGCAATGTGAGCAGCACCCATCTTTTTGAAGGCAGGGAGACCTAGAAAACAGGATAAATAACTCCATGTGTACTGATGAGACAGAGGTGGGTGTTCGGGGAGGGTTATGGGGGCTCCGGTGAGCCGCATCTCTCCCGCTCGTCACTGCACGGGATGCTGGAAGCCGCTGCCGATCCCTCTTGAACACAGCGGGCATCTCCGAGAGCCCAGGCCGAGCCAGGTATTCGGCTCCTCAGCACGTGTTTGCAGAAAACGCTGCCCATCCCCGCTCGCCCTCGCGATCCCACCAAGGCCTGGGGGAGTTTTGAGGCAGAAAAACCTGGTTCTGGGTAGCTTGGGCTGCTGGTGGGCTCCCTGATCACGCAGCCCCGGCTTTTTTGGGAGGAGGAGGAGGAGAAGAGGGTCCCTTTGGCGCAGCCGAGCCAGAGGAGCCCAGCAGCGAGCGCGGGAGCCAGCAGCGCCTCTGCCCCAGCGCCGGACTTCCTCTGCCTCCGCGTGACGGGGTGGGCGTGCGCCTGCACAGCCTTCCTGATTTCTCAGAAGCCAACGCACGACCTGTCGCAGAGTTATTCCCCTCGCCCAGGGCTCGCTCCCGGCGCATCCTCCCCTGAGAGCCCTCCAGGTCCCAGAGCCAGCTTCCCCGCGGGGAAAAGGCAGAACCCTCTGAAACCTCCCCCACCTCTGCTAGCCCGTCGAAGGGGATGCTCTTCACCCTGCCCTGGAAGGGCAATCGAAGGGGATGCTGCTCTTCACCCTTCCCCAGAAGGGCAGGGCTCAGGTGCCTTCTAAGACACCAGCCAAGGACGTATTTGAAAATAGCAGGGGGTTCTGCTGCCCGAGAAGAGGAGGAGAGATGGGGGAGTCTCTGGCGATGCGATCATACTAAAAATATTGAGCCTCTCGGCCCTGGAAGGAAATGTAAGTCCATCGCTCCTCGTGGGCTACCGATGTGCCTCCTCCTTGACCACCGTAGCAAAGGGAGCATCACCCCTTGGGGGGCCTTTCCCTGCCTAAAGCTCGTCCTGGGGGATTTCTCCTCGTCCGACTTATCTTCACAGAGCAGACACCATCCCCCAGGGCCTGCACGCGTTGCCTACGCAGGGCCAAGCTCTCCAGATCCCAGTCCTCCACTTCAGCCCCTTGGCTGGGACCAGCAGGGATGCCCCTTGCTTGCAAGGACACAGTGCTTTTGCCTCCAGCTCCCTCGGCACGCTCGCCGCCAGCCTCCAGCCTGCTCCATGCACACGGCATCGCTCTCCCAACCCATCCCGGAGGGAGGCAGGTGAGCGCTTCAGCCACCCCATCCATCCTCACCCGCTCCATGGGGTTTGGGTGTGTTTTCCCCCCCCCCCACATGGCCAGGCAGAGGAAAGCTCTCCCCGTGATTTTCCAGCCTCGAAGCGTGGGATCGGGGCATGGAGCCTGGTAATGCTGAGAGCCACTGAGGTCCTGAGTCACAAGAATCTCCTCTGCAGGACACGAAGTTCACCAGGATTGTGAAATCCAAGGCATAAACTGACAAGCAGAAAATCGTTCCTTGAATAAGTCTTCCTTCCGCAGCCAGTCTTATCTTCCCCCCCCCCCCCTTTTTTTTTTCCTTTGGGTAGACATGCCACAAAGGCAAAGAAATGAGAGAAGAGAAAGAATAACCAAAAAACCCTGTTCTTGCTGAGGCAGGGCTTTCTTGTAAAGCTTCTCTTTCCGCTCAGCGGGAGCGTGAGCAAGCAGAATCACACCCCCGGGCACGGCTGCTCCCGAGGATGCTGGAAAACCAGCACCTCCACGAACGGGCTTCGCTCCCGTCACTGTGCATGAAGTTTCGATCCTTTTTAGGGTTTGATTGGCGAGAAAAATCCCTCGGAGTCGCCCATTTTCTGGTTGCAATGGATGGTTTATGGATGCCCGTCACCCAAAGCAGCAGCGGGGGGCCGCCCCCCCCCCTCCGCCCAAAGCAGCGCCCGCGCCCATCGCGCCCCAGCACCGCGTCCCATGAAAGCCCGGGGCTCCCTTGCAGCACCTCTCGCCACCTTCCTCTCGAGAACGTCATTAAAGGACTTACGAGTATCCATGCTTTGTGTGGGGGGAAAAAAAAATCTACATTTTAATAAATATTTTATTTCTCTTTCCAAGAATGTCTGGAAGACTGACACGAATCATTGTCTTTCTAAACCAATTAAAAATGCTCCAATTTTCAACCCTGCCCAGTAGAATAATTCTGAAATTTGATGGAAAATTAAATTTACTGACTGCAAACACACACAGAAACAGACTTTAAGCCCTACAAAAGCTATTTACCGCCTGAAAATGAACCGCGGCTTTTGTCAAGCTCAGCAATGATACCGAGTTTTTGCAGCACGAGTGAACTGAACCTTCATCCTGCAGAATTTGAATATTTGTTGACTGATAACTACCAAAATGCAACCCCGGGAGGCAAAAGGATGGCAAACGACTTACAGGTTTTGACTGGATGAATCCGAGGCCGAGATACAGAGATAGGTCATGTCCTGCAACGCAAAGATGGTTGCGGTAGTAAGATACCTCCGAGAAACACAAATTCCCCCATTTCTCCCTTTTCCCTCTCCCCAGCTGATCCTTCGGTGAGGGGAAAGCTGAAATCTGCTTTCGGGTGCCATCACCCCGCTCCCCACGGGTAGGGACAACCATGAAGGGTTGCATCCATCCCACCCCAGGCTATTTCCCCCCCCCATTTCAGCCCAGAGGAGAGGCCAGGCTGTGGGGAACCACTACGACGCTCAGGAGCCCCCCCGAAACTGAGCCACCCCTTCGCCGGGGCCCCGACCGGCGAGCCCCGTCAGGAAGACGTGTGCGAACACGCACCGATGAAGTCGCTCTCATCAATGAGTTATTTCCTCCCCGTCCTTTTAATACACAATAAATCATCCTGCCGCATGTTGGCATAGGTCAGATTCCTTTCTTTAAAACATCGCTTCCTCGATCCTCCCTGTTCTGAGCTAAAATTAGGTCCTTTACATCTGAGGTTGGGGTTTTTTTTGTTTTGTTGGGTTGGGTTTTTTTTAACTTTCTTAGCAAAACGGGTGGAAATCCTGCCAGCCGGAGCCAAAACAGCCGAGCACCAGGGATTGCCTCATCTCCATCAGCTCCCCGTGGCATTGCTGCCGAAAAGTCCCCCCTGGGCTGATGCAGCCCAACCCCACAAGGCCACCCTCGCTCCCCTCCAGCCCAGGGCAAATCGGGAGGCTGGAAAAAGCCAATTATTTAAGGAGGGAAGGGGCAGAGCGAGATGGGCACGGCGATATTTCTGCGCTGGAAAGACCAACGTTGCGAGGGTGAGCGCGGGCGGGCTTTCCCGCACACGTCCATCCCATCCATCCCCCCCAGCCCCGTCCCACGCTCGCCCCCGCCACCCCGC